TGGCCTGCTAAACCCAGGGTTGTGAGTTCAATCCTTGAGGGGGCCATTTCAGGATCTGGGGCAAAAATTGGGGATTGGTCCTGCTTTTAGCAGGGAGTTGCACTAGATGGCCTCCTGAGGTCCCTTCCAACCCTGATGTTCTACGATTCTATGGTAGCCTCTTCCAGTCAGAGGTTCACGCACCACCCATGGCTCTGAGCACCAGAGGGTAGAGGTGCTGAGTATGCACAGAGAGAGACATTCCCAACATGTTTTCTCTAAAGTACATTCCTTCTATTTGAAGTTGATGGAACTGTTCCCTTTTACACTGGTTCAGTATCTACCGTTAAACTTCAAAATATATTTAAAAGGGAAATGCAAAGGTACATGAAACGAAAATCAAAGAGCCCCAAATTCAAAGGTTAGGAATCACAAACTAAGTGACATCTGAGACCTTGATGTGCATTTTTAAAGTGAATCTAAACTTCAGTGTTGGAACATCTAATCCCAGTAAAAATATTACTACTTCAGTAATTCATCTCTTTGGCTGCAAAAACACTTGATGAGTGTTTGTGAAGTGCTTTGAAATGCTGAGATCGGAGGAAGCCTCAGACAATCCACCCTGAAAGTTACAATTACACCTGTTTGCCACGGAGGTAAATCGAGGCACATTCAGGTGAAGGTCAGACAGGGAGCAATTCGCAGAGTCAATAATAAACACCAACTTGATATTTACAAGTCTACTGCACTCTTGGAAAATTGACAGACTTATAATTCGTTTGGAGAAATATTATCCTCAGGTATAAAGAAGCCACAGTTCAAGTGGATCACAGCATTAGCCAGTTTTTTATTGTTGATGCTGACATCCAAGGATGCAAACATTTTGTAACCGGACATGTTACTAACCTTGTCTGGTAACACAGTGTAACAGGGAACAACCTAGAGCTCCGCCTGTTGTAGGAGTCAGAAGTATTGGGTTGTATTTCTGTTTCTGCAACTGACCCAATGGGACCAATCTCACGCTAATCTCAGCCTCAGAGGGCGTGACATGCACGTTGCACTCTTCAGTTTTCTTTCATCTTAAAATTGTTTTGGCCAACTACATTTCTCGTGTCATTCCAATGACTTTTTTGGTGCTGCCATTATCATGAATGTCAAGGTGATTTTGAGCGGCATCAATAGCAATAGTGGGTATCATGAAAGGCATCCAGTTTGGTCCTTTCAATTCATGCTGCTCGTGATGAGGGGCACAGAACGTCATTGAAGTCTAGGGAACTCTACTGATGTCCACTGGCTCAGTTTCTGCCTCTTGGACTTTGTAAACGACCGTTTTCTAAGGAAAGGGAAATGCAAAGCTTTTTTTAATGAAAATCTAACAGCCCCAAATTCGGACTCTGGGAATCATCCACTGACTATTGGCATGACATCAGAAACCTTAACATGGATTTGTAAAGTTCATTTAATCCAGCATTTCTCAAATGAGGCCACCAGTGGATTTTTTTGCAGCTACGTCAGCCTCAAACACATGGGCAGGGATTGTGGGGGTGCAAAGCAGCAGCCCCTTCTGGCAGTGCGCATCTGTTGCTACTGAGTAACTATTACCAAAGGCAGCGAGATGCACCTCTTTGTTCTTTACAGTGGCATCACCAGCATGGGGTTTTGCCTTCCAGCGTGCAGCCTTCTCTGGGGCTCCGGGCAGTGCCTCTGGAGAAATGTGGGGCCCATGTGCGTGGCACGTGAGGCAGCTCTTGTTGTTGGAGGCGGCTGCAGCATTTGGTTGCCGGGCCGCTACCCTGCTCCTGCCTGCATGGGACATGGGGAGTCTGGGACTCTGCCGGCAGCTGGTGAGTTCCCAACCCACCCTCCCCAGGGCAGGCTCTCGGTGAAGGGTTCTGGGAGGCAGGGACAGAGAGACGGGTTTGTCAAAGGCCACCAAAAAAATTGTTGTGAGAACCCTTGAATCCAAATCCATAATTTGGGGCCTCTAAACCCACAAAAAACTTCTACTATTAAAATAATACAGCCCTGTGCAGACACACAACTGTAATGAGCCTCCAGTGCTTTGAAGTCCTTTGATTTGAGGAAGCCTCTGATCATCGAGCAGAATATCACTATGAGAGCTGGTTGATGTGGAGGTGAACAAGCACACTGAGGTGAAGGTTACCCAGGGAGCGAGTGGCAGAGTCAGCAATAAAACCAGTCACAGTGATTACTCACCCCCTGCTCACCACTGCTCCTGAACTGCATTGGACAGTTCCCATTCGAGGCTTCCGAATAGCCCACGGCAGCATCCATGAAGCCAGTAGAATGATCCCAGCAATGTAGCTGACCCATAAAGTTTTCAGAGCAAAGAGCTTCAGGGTATAATGTGCCCCTCACCCCATGTGGAGTTAGGAACAAACTAATCCTCAAAAACACCAAGGGAAAAAATTACATCAGTTGAAGGAGTTACACAAAGTTTTCTTTTTAACTAATTGGGCCTTCAGGAACAAAGGACATCTCAAGTCCTCCGGTGGCATAAAACACTGTCAAAAAAAACTCATGACTCAGGGGTCTCCTGTGTGAACTAGAAAAGTCCGATTCAAGTCGCTCTCTCCATAACCATTCCGATGATGTGCTCGGGATCCTTTTGATTTAGGGCTGAATCTTGCACAGACACTCTGGGATTCTGAACGGTGGGAAGGGTTTTTTCAATTTTTTTCTCTTATTGAGTTGCAGATGTTGGTTTCCTCATGGTTCATAACTTAAGGCTTGGATTTTCAGAGCAAGACAGGATACTGTATTAGATGGACTTGTGGCACCTTAGAGACTTACAAATTTTTTTGAGAAGAAGTTTTCGTGAGCTACGACTCACTTCATCGGATGCATTCAGATCCACTGAATGCATCCGATGAAGTGAGCTCTAGCTCACAAAAGCTTATGCTCAAATAACTTTGTTAATCTCTAAGGTGCCACAAGTCCTCCTTTTCTTTTTGGGGATGCAGACTAACACGGCTGCTACTCTGAAACCTGTATTAGATGGCCCACTCATCTCTTCCAGCATGGCAACTGCTACCTTCTCATGTGCAGATGTAATTCTAGGTGCAGAGCCTCGTCTGGTCCAACTTAGTGTAGCTGCAGTGAGACCAGTGGAACAGAGCAGATTTACACCGGGGAGGAGGTGGGGGTTTGTGTTTTGTTTTGATTTTAAAAACCCAGTTTCGTTTATTCATCAGCAAGTGTTGGTGAGTCGCTGAGGTTTACAACCCAAAGCACCACCTTGAGATGTTGGACTGAACTTGTCTGTCAGTAGATGTCAGGAGACTGTTGGTCCCCTACTAAAGCTCGGCGGGGTGTTTTCGTGGCGCTCTCCCAGTACCAAAAGAAAGGGGAAGGGCCAATGAGAAATAAGGATCCTAAGACTAACAATGAGATCCCAATGCTGCAGGTCAGCCTGATTGACAAGGTGGGGCAGGCCAATGAAGGAGTCAGAAGCCCGGGGTCTCGTCCTCTGTGTGAGTGGGAGCTCCCTGAGCGGGAGGCCAAGCTAAGGAGAGAGCAGCAGCCAGAGGCAGGGTGGAACAAGTAATTAAAAATCGGGGCAGACAGACTTGGTTGTCAGACTCTACCACTGCACTAAAAAAGTAAGAGAACTGTGTGAGAAATACCACTTTGGCACTGGGGAGAGGATACAGCCCTTCATGAAACCATGGAAATGCATTTCCTCGAATCCACCCCCGCACCTGGGATTCCTTTGAGTTGCCCGCCCCCATCACTCAGTGTTTCATGCTTAGCTGTGGGGAGGGATTTACCTGCCCAGGAAATGGCTGTCTCCCCCCCCTTCGTCAGAGGGTTCATTAGCATATTCACTGACAGGGGAAGGCTTGGAAGAACCCCTAACCCCCACCTTAAAGGGACAGAGTTAGTTTTCACAAGTACAACAGGAAAAACATTTTGCAATAATGGGACCTGGCTTGGGGGACCCTTGGTCACCTCTCTCCATTCCCCAGAGGCCAGTTGTCTGGCTGCTCCCACAGGGAGGTCAATTACACGGTTCCCCCTAAAAATCTGAGCCACAGGTGGGGTCCCTGGGATTACAGATGCAGATCCAGCAAATTTCTCCTGGGCAAGACTTCCTCTGTAAATAGTGTGGAGACATTCCTGTAGACATCCCCCCCGCCCCAATCCCATCTTTACTTCTTCCTCTGCCCCCCCTCCACCCTCGGGGGCACACTCCCCTGTGCTCCCTCGAGAGGAATCTGCCCCCTGTTCAGCTGTGGGCTCACAGCTAACAGCCAGAACAGACCCTTTACTGGGAAGCATTGCACCCTCCTCCCTCTCTGAACTGGGTTTGCCTCCAGTTTACAGAGCCCATGCAATCCACACCCACCGCAGCGGTCCCCGACACTCACCACTTTTCTCTGGGCTTCCCTGTAGGACAGGGGCTCTCAAACTTTTTTACTGGTGACCCCTTTCAAATAGCAAGCCTCTGAGTGCGACCCCCACCCCCTTATAAATTAAAAACACTTTTTATATATTAACACTATTATAAATGCTGGAAGCAAAGTGGGGTTTGGGGTGGAGGCTGGCAGCTCGTGACCCCACCATGTAATAACCTAGCGACTCCCTGAGGGGTCTGGACCCCCAGTTTGAGAACCCCTGCTCTAGGACACCTTTTTCTGTGCATTTTAGAGTGAGTTCTGCTTCTTGCTTAACTGCAACATCCTGTCCTGCAAAGACTCCCACAAACTCTTAGCGCGAACCATGTGATTGGCCTTCTTGAAACCAAAGAAAATCTGTCTAAGTCTTTGCAGGAAAAGACTCTTTGCTAAAGCAGGTAATGCAAGGAGAAACTCCACACTGGTGCTTAGGGCCTGCAGAATGCTTTCAACCACTCCAAGAGCACGATTCTTCTATCACTCCAGGGCTTTGAAAATTGCAATTTGAGAAGTGCCCTGTGGCCCTGACTCCACAGGAAGGAATTTCGTCTGATGGAATTTTTAAGCAAGGAGGGCGGAACAAGGAGAACCAGAAGACTGATATTATGATGCAGCAGAGTTTTTAATGCAAATGCAATTGGCAGTACACAGTTACAGGAAGAAATAGTACAGAGCAGAAAGAATGTATTTCCAGAGTTTCAAGAAGGCCTGCGACCAATCACAGGCCTCAGTGGGTTGCATTTCAGACAACATGTTCTTTGTGCTTTGTTGCAGCTGCAGAGGTTGACAAAGAAGTCCCCTCTGTAACCATTTTAAGTTTTTTGTTTTACCCCAGTCGGTGGGAAATGAGACAAAGCAAAATAGAAGCAGAGGACTACACAGCTTCTCCATTATACATCAGCCATAGCAAAGGTTAAAGTGAGGTGCTAAAGATACGTATTGATGGAAAGGATAGAACATATGGGGCCTAATTCTCCTTTACAGCAAGGTCTCTTTTTCCCCTTTAAAGGGACTTACAGTGATAATGAATGTAAATGATACCTATGTTAAGGCCCTTGTTTCCTTCACACTGCGGGCTTAGTGTAAATAGCTTGCGTGTAATTCAGAATGAGTCCACATGTGAAAGTGAGAATCAGCACATGGCTGGGAAAGCACTAGCAGAAAGAGTCCTAAAGCGTAACATTAGAAATGCAGCATGGCTATCAGACCAAGGTGCTGAGCACACACAGCTCCCTCAGGTGGAGCCATGTTTGCACAGCACTTCTGAAAGCCATGCCCAAAAGATCAGGGGTGAATCTGGATCTTGCTGTTCATTTCCTGGTTCTTCCTTCTTCTACGAACATTCCTGCTGGGTTTAACATGGCCCACAATATCCACCAAGATACCTACGGCCATATCCTCCGTAACCATAAAGGCCCGGGTAACCGCAGTATCCCCCATGTCCCAATAATCCCCCGTAACCATAAAGGCCCGGGTAACCGCAGTATCCCCCATTGCCCAATAATCCCCCGTAACCGTAAAGGCCCCCGTAGGCACCATATCTCCCTAAACCATACAACCCTCCATAACGGCCTCCATAGCCATACAGTCCCCCCAAACCGAATGAGCCTCCCAAACCAGCTCCAACCACAGGTGCTCCTGCGGCTGCCACTTCGCTCTGCTGAGGGAAATTGCTGAGAATTGGTCCGGGGAGGGTCACGACAACCGGGGAGGGTCTGATCACCACTTCGGAGTCAGGGCACTGCCTAACGCAGGGCTCGTTGCAGCTGCCAGTGACTGGACTGGGTCGGGCCACCCCGCATTCTGGATAGCAGAGGCTGGAGAAAGCCATCTTTCTGGGACGGAGGTAAACCTGGAACACAAAACAGGGACTAGAGTAAAGAGAAGGTACAAGTGCCGGTGGAAGAAAGGCTTCAAAGCTCGGTTACAATTGTCGTGAGGTCAGCATGGGTCCTGAGAGAGAGAGGAGAAGTGGCCTGAATCTCTTTTTGTGTGGTCATGTATTTGTTCCTATTTTCTCTTTCTATGCCTCTTGTCCACTCGCTCTAAACTTCCCTCCTAGCAGGCCCCTTTGATCCTCTCAAAAAGACTTTGTCTGAAAAACGCTGACTAGAATAGGTGTAAGTATTTCTGTGCTGGACACCTGGGATTCTGGGTCCATTTTAGACATTTCTGAAAGAGAAGATGGCTGGGATCATGGTAATCAGATTGTTTCCTTTGAGGATTTAACCTCTGCATGCAAACCTGTTCAGTCTGGTATCACAGTGTGGCTCTTGGTTCTCCAAACCTTGGGAATCACCAATACTTGCTAAAACAAGAAACAGAAGCTTTTCTTTTCTCCAAACAATTCACTACAGAGAAACTCCTCAGCTGGGGTTTAATGGGTTCAGTTCCACTGACTTCCATAGAGCGGCACGAAATTACACCATGTGAGGTATGGGTATTTCTGCTCAGGAGAACATAGGAATTGCTTGCCTGGATCACACCTCTTGTCATCTTAATCCATTCTCTTGTCCTCAGTAGTGAGGGGTCACAGCTGCTCAATAGAGTAATGTAGAAAACCACTGAATTGGCCCTTTCTGGACTAACCTGGGAAAATTTCTTCCTAATCCAGCAAAGTGAAAAATGTTAAGGGACTTTCTAAAGTTACTGAAAAGATTTCAATGCCCTCATTCTTCTTCCAGTTAATAGGAAATATGTTTCTGAATTGCATGTGTTGCTCTTAAAGTCTCTCCTTTAGCTTCAGATCATCAATCTACGAGCGCCTGCAACTGAATCACGACTCAAGATAGTTATGGAAGAACCCCCTGATCCCTGACAAAAATCACAGTGAGCAGATGCAAGATTCCGTCTTCAATGAAAAGAGGCCCTATTGTGATACCTCTGTGGTTAGAAAGAGATTGAGTGGAATTGGACTTACCCAGTTCACTGAGGAGATGAAGTCTGGAGAAGTGTGTAGAAGAAATCTGAATTGTGAGTGCTTTTATACCGTTCCTAGGACTGCCTGGAGGATCTGAGATGCTGTTTGTGGAGGAGGTCCTAATTAGTTACCAAACAAACTTGATTTCCTTTGCAAGTCCTCCTTTGGATGGAGCTATTTTCCTCAGCGTTGGTGATTATTGGGCTAATCTGAGCCTCAGAGGGTGTGACATGCACTTTGCACTCTTCAGCTGTCTTTCATCTTAGAATGGTATGGGCCAACTGCATTTCTCGTATCATTCCAGAGATTTTATAGGTGCTGCCATTATAATGAAGGTCAAGGTGATGATTCTGAGCAGCATCAGTAGCACAAGTGGGTGTCATGAAAGGAATCCAGTTTGGTCCTTGCAATTCATGCTGGTCGTGATTAGGGGCATGGGGCAGTTCATTCTAAACGTGCTAGGAAGCAGGGACCCATTTTTCTCCATTCTCACCACCTCCATTCCCAGCAGGTCCAATCCAATTGCCTTTGAAATCCATGGAAATCATTCCATTGCCTCCAGCCTGTTTCCTGTCCTGACTTTAAGTCTGAAATTCATCCTTTGGCAGAGGGATAGTACAATGCCTATAGACAACTTGAGTCCAATTTTAAAGTTTCAAACTTGGTCTTACAGCAGGGACTTAAGTGGAGCATGGGCCTTTGTGATGGCCATCTGCCTGGGGTGAATCTTTCTCTATGGTGACTAAAACTTGACCTAACATTGGCCCTCCACTTGGGTCACCAATGCTGTCTCAAAGGGCTGCCTTAGAGCAGATTTGCTCATGGGTCAAGGGGAGGGATGGCAGAGAGAGAAAGGAAGCAGTGCTCTTTTACAGAAAGGTTTTGAATTAAGTCTTGGAACCTGTACTCTACCACAAACCATCTCTCCATCCATGAGCAGCCAAGGAATTGAAGTCTAGTTCGACAATGCAGTTGAGTGAGCCCAGCGGGAAGCCCAGGAGAGATTAAAATGATGCATTCTTGGTGAAGGAGGAGATGGCTGTGGGATGAGATTTGACATAATGTCTGACGAGACAAAGGGCATGTTGCAGAAAACATTCCTGCCTGAACCAGCCTGTTGTTCAAAGTGTAAATGATATCCCCAAGGCTGGGTTCGATATCCAGGGAAGAGGGCAGAAGTGTCTTGCTTTGGTTGGTAATTTACCCCAAGAGAGCACCTTCATTTTCCAATAAAAAAATCCCTCCAAAGGTAATAGAGCCCCCGAAACCGGCGTTGACGCCAGGGGCTCCTATGGTCCCACTTGGCTCTGCTGAGGGAAATTGTGGAGAATTGGTCCTGGGAGGGTCACGACTCCCGGTGAGGGTCTGATCACCACTTTGGAGTCAGGGCACTGCCTAACGCACATGTTGTTGAAGCCACTGGACTGGGCCGTTCTACCCCATATGGTTTTTTAAAAAATGCCAAAATCAAAACTACATTTGAAAGAAAATGAAATAGCCCCAAATTGTGTGGCTTAAATCATGACCTGATTAAGGTAATGACAAGAGAGACCTTGGCCTCCATTTTGTTTCAAGTGACTGTATGACTCAGTGCAGAGAGGTGACTTATCCCAACAACACTTTATTAATATTCTAAGAATACAACCCTTTGCGTGTGTGAAACACCAGCGAGTGTTTGTGAAGGCTTTGAACTCTGGAGTCCTGAGGACACTGTTTAAGAACTTCCAGTCTTACCACCCTGACTCTCTGTGTTTGATAGGCCTAGAAACAGAGGCACGGTGAGGTGAAGGTCACAGGGGGTCAGTTGCAGAAAACAGAAATACAACCCAAGAGTCCTGACTCCTCCTACCACAGGCTGAGGTCTAGGTTGATCCCTGTTACACTGTGTTACAAGATAAGGTTAATAACATGTCTGGTTACAAAGTGTTTGCATCCAGTAGGGATCAGAAGATACAGGTTAGTGTTTGGCATGAGTCGTCCCAACCACTGGGATTTTTTTCTGACTCTGCCAATCGCTCCCTGACTGACCTTCACCTGAATGTGCCTCCCTTTACCTCCATGGCGAATAGGTATAATTGTAACTTTCAGGGTGGATTGTCTGAGTCTTCCTGTGATCTCAGGATTTCAAAGCACTTCACAAACACTCATTAGATTGTATACAGCCAAAGAGATACATTACTAAAGTCATAATAATTTTTTACTGGGATGAGATGTTCCAACACTGAAGATTAGATTCACTTTAAAAATGTATGTCAAGGTGTCAGATGAAAAGGAGTACTTGTGGCACCTTAGAGACTACCAATTTATTTGAGCATAAGCTTTCGTGAGCTACAGCTCACTTCATCAGCTGTAGCTCACGAAAGCTTATGCTCAAATAAATTGGTTAGTCTCTAAGGTGCCACAAGTACTCCTTTTCTTTTTGCAAATACAGACTAACATGGCTGTTACTCTGAAAGGTGTCAGATGTCACTCCAGTGGTCAGTTTGTGATTCCTAACCTTTGAAATGGGGGCTTTTTGACTTTTGTTCAATGTAACTTTGCATTTCCCTTTTATATATATTTTAAAGATTCAGGTAGATACTGAACCTGTGTAAAAGGGAACAGTTCCATCAACTTCCAATTGAAGGAATGCACTTTATCTAGCCCGGGATAGAGAAACCTTGTACGGGGTGTATTGCTGTGTGCATTCTTGGCACCTCTACCCCTTGGTGCTCAGATCCAACTTATAGGGAAACCAAGAGAACTGGGTCTTGTGAGAGACTTCAGCTAATAAGGAAAAGGAAGAAGTACAAGATTGACAGAGTTAAGCAGAACTTCTGCGAAGGTCACATTGCTGTGGGATGAGACGGGATTAATTACAATTCTGACCTACCTAGGGCATTCTGCAAGACCCGTCTCCCACACAAAGCTTTTCAGATGGAATTAGGATGATTTTTAAACTGGAAAATACGCTCCCACCAGGATTTCTTCTAACCCGAGCAACATTAAACGCCTTTTCTCAGTTGTAAGGCACAGAAGGTCATTGAAGTCTATGGAGCTGTACTGATGTCCAGTAGCTCAGTTTCTGCCTCTTGAGCTTTGCAAAGGAATGTTTACTAAAGAGAGGGAAATGCAAAGCTTTATTGAAAGAAAATGAAAGAGCCCAAATTCAGAAGCTCGGAATCATCCACTGACTATTGGCATGCCATCAGAAACCTTAACAGGGATTTGTAAAGTTCATTTAATTCAGTAGATTTTTTTGCAGCTATGTCAGCCTCAAAAGCATGAGCGGGGATTGTGGGGGTGCAAAGCAGCAGCCCCTCCTGGCAGCTCCCACCTGTTGCTGCTGAGTACCTGTTACCAAAGTTAGCGAGATGTGCGGCATTGGTGTTTGCAGTGGCATCGCCAGCAGTGGTTGGCGTCTTGTACCTTTCAACCTCCTTGGGGTTGCAGGCAGCGGCTCTGGAGACATGTGGGGCCGGTGTGCGCGGCACATGAAGCAGCTCTTGTAGGTGGAGGTGGCTGCGGGATATGGTCACATCCGTCTGGATGGGACATGGGGAGCCTGGGACTCTGCGGGCAGCCAGCGAGTTCCCAACCCACGGTCCCCAGGGCAGGCTTTCGGTGAAGGGTTCTGGGAGGCAGGGTTTGTGAAAGGCCACCAAAAAAATTGTTGTGAGAACCCTTGAATGCTAATCCATAACTTGGGGTCCTCGAATCCCACAAAAAACTTCGACTATTAAAATAATACAGCCCTGTGCACACACACAACTATAATGAGCCTGCAGTGCTTTGAAGTCCTTTGATTTGAGGAAGCCTCTGATCATCAAGCACAATATCGCTATGAGATCTGGTTGATGTGGAGGTGAACAAGCACGCTGAGGAGAAGGTTACCCAGAGAGTGAGTGGCAGAGTCAGCAATAAAACCAGTCACAGTGATTACTCACCCCCTGCTCACCACTGCTCCTGAATTGCTTTGGACAGTTTCCATTCAGGGCTTCTGAATAGTCCACGGCAGCATCAGTGAAGTCAGTAGAATGATCCCAGCAATGTAGCTGGCCCATAAAGTTTTCAGAAGAAAGGGAGCTGCAGGGTATAATGTGCCCCTCACCCCATGTGGAGTTAGGAAGAAAATAATCCTCAAAAACACAGAGGGAAAAAATTACGTCAGTTGAAGGAGTTATGTTAAGTTTTCTTTTTAACTAATTAGGCCTTCAGGAACAAAGGGCCTCTCAAGTCCTCTGGTGGCATAAAAAACTGTCTACAAATACTCATGAGTCAAGGGTCTTCTAACCACTTTAACTTATTCTCCTCTGAGAACTAGAGAATCCTATTCAAGTCGCTCTCTCCATAACTGTTTAGATGAGTTGCCAGTGATCCTTTTAATTTAGGACTGAATCTTGCACAGACACTCTGTGATTCCAAACAGTGGGAAGAGTTTGAGGGTTTTTCAATTGTTTTCTATTATCGAGTTGCAGGTGTTGATTTCTTCATGGTTTAGAATTCAAGGTCTGGATTTTCAGAGCGAGACAAGCATTTTAGACACTAGATCCTGTTGATTTTAGTTAGCATTTGGACATTCAAATTCCTTAGGGAGCTCTGAATAATCTCACCCCCAATTTTATTTTAGGGTTGTGATAAATGAATGGCAGGGGAGGAGCTCCCTTTTATGGACACCCAGCCAGCCAGTTAGCTATAAAATCCCTCTTAGTAGCTGTTCTCTATTTGCTTTACCTGTAAATGGTTAGAAAGTCTATCGGTAGAAGGAAGGGAGTGGGCACGTGACCAAAAGAGCCAATGGGAAGGCTAGAACTTTTTAAAATTTGGAAAAAAAACTTCCCCTTTGTTTGTCTGTGTTGTTCTCCCGGAGAGCAGAGCCAGGGCTGGAACTATGCTGTAAGAGCTTGGGCAAGGTATGAAAAATCATCAGATCATACCTAGAAACTACTCATTTGGAACCCCAGGTATGGAAGTAGATCAGGAAATGTCTCGGGAGACGCGAAGAGGTTTATCTCTTTTATTTCTTTATGTCTTGTGGACTCCTAAGGGTAACCCCAGGTTAATGGTGTAACTCAGATGCATGGTTTGCACCATTACCCAGG